TATATATGTACATTCATAGTTGTCGCAGCTAAGTTTTAGGCTTAATAATACATTTTTTATGACTGTATATATTTTAGAGTGACTGACATTTCTGGAAAGTTTGGTTTTTAAGCTTTCAAATCATATCTTGTATAAATGTATCCATGGCAACTTGGCAACCATACTTGCAAAGAGAGGCTGATGAGAGATCCATAATGCAGCCCCCACACTTTACATATTGTTTCTGGGCCCCTTCAAAGCGGAAGATACAGATCTGCTCATGGATTTATCATTTACTTGTTAAATGCCTCATTAAAAACTCTATCTACTACATATCTTGTAAAATGATTTTGATTCCCAGCATTCTAATGCAGCCTGAACTCTGGAAGATGCATTAAATCAGCCAAATAGATGACAGCACTGTTTTCAACAGGAGACTTTTGGTGTCAATAGACTGATGTGAAAGGCATCACAATTTGTATGATCAAGAAATGAATATGTCACAATATCCTAATCATTTTAAAATGTGTCCATGCTAATTTACATTTCAGAAGAGAGCTGTATGATATATTGATTACGCATTTAATCAGCTGCTCTTGAATCTGAAAACATAGAAGAGCTGACGCTTTAGGATATAATTTTCGATCTGAACTCAGCAACTTTAAATCATTCACAGTTTTTAATGTTTTAACTGGTTGTTCTTGACCGTCAAATGAAAAACCAACAGGAGCACTGAAGATGTCAAACTCCGGATGAATCTTCTCGTTTTGACTGTCGTACAGTCTGATATTAATGACAGCTGAGATCCCACAGTGTAACATGGCTTATTGCTGGGATGTTCATACAGTCTGACAATCAACAATTGTTGCTTTAAAACACTGCTTTAAAACAATAACCTTAAAACTCATCTAATTAATGTGGCTTGGTTCAAAGTCAAAATTACATCCCAAAGAATCAGCAGATAGAGGAGCAGCTGGTTAAATGTGCAGAAAATGCATAATCAACATATAATACAGCAGAGTTGCATAATGCTGCCTGATGACAATTTTTTAGATAGTCAGAGTGGATGTGTTTTCACAAGCTCCAAAAACGTTCAATCATGTGAATAACATGCTATAAGGGTAATGTTTGTGTTTCTAAAATGAATTGTTTTATTTACAGTTTGGAGTCAATATGATTTTTTTTATGTTTTTGAAAGAAGTCTCTTATGCTCACGAAGGCTGCATTTATTAGATAAAAAATACAGTAAAAACAGTAATATTGTAAACTATAATTACAAATTAAATTAACTGTTTTCTACTTCTAATATATATTAAAATGTAATGTATTACTGTGATGCAAAGCTGAATTTTCAGCATCATTACTCCAGTCTTCAGTGTCACATGATCCTTCAGAAATCATACTAATATGCTGATTTGATGCTCAACAAACATTTCTTATTATTAGCAATGTTAAAAACAGCTGTGCTGCTTTTTCAGGATTTTCAGAATTCTTTGCTGAATAAAGCAAAAAAACAGCAGTCTTTAAATGGCAGTCTTTACTGTCACTTTTAATTAATTTTAATGGTTCCTTGCTGAATAAAAGTATTCATTTCTTTAAAAAAAAATCCTACTGACCCCAAACTTTTGAACAGTAGTGTATTTATTCTCTCATTTATATCAGAGAGCAAGAACATGGGGAATGAAACCCCAGTAAAGTATGTCAGATTGTGATAGTCTGCTGCATCCTCCACAACCGAGCACTCAGATCAAGCACTCATCTGAACTGTGGCATGCAAATTAATGCAAATGACATGCACCAGCTGTGCTTTTCAAGATTTTCAGAATTCTTTGCTGAATAAAGCAAAAAAACAGCAGTCTTTAAATGGCAGTCTTTACTGTCACTTTTAATTAATTTGAATGGTTCCTTGCTGAATAAAAGTATTCATTTCTTTAAAAAAAAATCTTACTGACCCCAAACTTTTGAACAGTAGTGTATTTATTCTCTCATTTATATCAGAGAGCAAGAACATGGGGAATGAAACCCCAGTAAAGTATGTCAGATTGTGATAGTCTGCTGCATCCTCCACAACCGAGCACTCAGATCAAGCACTCATCTGAACTGTGGCATGCAAATTAATGCAAATGACATGCACTTAATGCATTTTGCATTTAATTCCTTCAGTTAATCGGATGCTTAAACAATGCAGACAGCATGTTCTATCAGTGGGTGCACATAAACACTACAATCAGCGGGTGTAATTAATTCTCAGTGCATTCTCCCCTTAATAAAGATCGAGAATCTTCTCACGTGGTACTGTGTCTTGTCGATGCCGATGAGGAAGAGGAGCTCGGCGATGAAGAGGTTGATGCAGAGGTTCTTGTGGATGGTGTTGCGGTCAGTCTGCAGGCCTCGCAGGAAGCAGAAGGTGGAGATGCAGATGGCGAGACACACCAGCGAAATGACGATACCCACCCATGTGATCACAAAGAGGATCAGCTCGTGCATCCTGCCTGGATACTGAGAGAGACAGAGAGATGGATAAGGGAAATGGTATAAACGGATAGGCTGCCTGAGGGAGAGTGACTTATGAAAATCCAGTAAATGTCAAGCTGAAATTGCTGTGTGTTTGTTTGTGTATTTTGCTCTTGTGTGTATAGATATGTGTGTTTGTCTTACAGACTGTGTGCAAGCGAAAAAGTTGTTCATGTGCATGAGAGTTATATTCAGATTTGTTTGTGAGCAGGTGATGAATGTAAAGAAGGAATATGTGCACGTGTGCACTTACGTTGGGTTCGTGGTGTACCATGAGAACGGCAAAGTTGGTTAGATGGCTACAAGAACAAGTTGTGTGTGTGCTGTTGGTTTCCATCAGCCTACAGCCCTGAGATGACCACTGGCCCGTCATTGAACGCTCAGAGTAGTTCCAGAATGAACAGTTTGGGCTGAAATGATTCTCCAGCTGCAAAGAGAAAGCAACAGAGAGACCGGAAAAGATCGGTATTCACACAATGTTTTCTGTTTAGGACTCATGTGCGAACCCTTCATGGTCAGGGACCATCTAGCTCTTACAAATTGATTTTCACTGTATGTCTGAAATTGCAGTTTCTGCACTGCAAAGGCAGCACAATTAGAGTGAATTATAAACAATAAATCTCTCATTGATTCTTGAGTACTGAGACGTGTTACAGAACCGACAAAAGAAATGATGTTTGGATTCGTCTGTTCAACATGTTCAGAAGAATTCATGTTTAAGGGGCACAAGCAATTTCCTGCTGCTTTCATTTGCTCACAAATGTGGGTTGTTCTGTCACAGCAAAAATTCATTATAAATATGTAGACACATCAGACATGCATGCTACAGGGTGATGGTTTCAAACTGATCTTCTGCTTGTAGTGTTGACAAAATAACGGTATTTTGCAAACGAAACAGCTATTTTGTGGTGTTGCTAGCCACTAAACTCTTTCCCCACCAGTGTTTTTTTTATTTATTATTATTATTATTATTATTCTTTATTATGTTGCCAGCCACCACCAGCATTTTTTATAATTTTCACAAAAGTTTAACGGTGCCCAGAATATTTTGTTGTATGAATACCTGAACAAAGAACAGAGCCTCTGCTTTAGAGAAAAAAAAAAAAAAAA